TGTGTCTGAAATTTTTGGCCCATGCTATCATACAGCCTCTATCATTATCATTATAGAAACTGGCAGTTCATGATGCCTCATTAGCCCTGATTACATGTGCAGCCTAGGGATAGAAACAAAAGCAGTAACAACCCCTATCTGATTCCAACAAGTAGATGGATCCATGAAAGGGGGAAGTCCGGACACGCACATAATTAAAAAAAAAAAAAAAATGGCTATGGGAAAGCACTGGGAACTAATCCGTTTCTTAGTAGTGCCAAAAATGACTCAATCAGTAATCCTGGGTCTTGCCTGGCTAGACAAATGGCACCCAATGATAAGCTAGGAGGGCGGCTACAGGATAAATTAACGCTTGCCCCCAAGCTGCCTCCTGAACAAAGCAACAACCAAATTAACAGCTTAGAACCCTGGGAGACTCAGTAGGACCCAATGGTGGCGCTTGCTGATCAGCCCCCAGGGATCCCACAAATTCCAACCCACTATTAAGACCTAGCTGAGGTTTTCAGTGAGAAGAAGTGCAGCATACCTACCCCCGCCCCCAATCGACTCTGCCATTGAGTTCATAGATGGGGCAAAACTACCAAAACCCAAAATGTACTCCATGACACCTAAGAAAATGAAAGAGCTGAGACTACATCAACTCCAATCTGGCCAGAGGTTTCATACAACCTGCTAAGTCTAGAGTGGCATCCCCCCGTCCTATTTAAAGAGAAAAAAGATGGGGGGGGGATGAGATTATGCATTGAGCACAGCAGCAGCAGCACCCTTGAGGAGGTGGTAAGCATAGCGTGGCATCCCCTAGGGGAAACAGGGCTGGTCTGTGGGGTCCCGGTGCCCTGGGAACTTGAGGGCTGGGCTGGCCGCTTGCCTGCCACTTCCCAGGTCTCTGAGCAACCTGCAATGCCTTCCGGGGTTCCTCCGCGTGGCCTGAGAGGGACGGTGAGGCTTCCTTTGATAGACAAGGGTTTGGCGCTCGCGCTGATCTCACCTTCCTCCGCTGGAGACAATGGATACCCCGCAGCCCCATTTGGGGCACCACAGGCACCCCCACACGAGTGACATCGAGCTGGCTATACCCCCCTTGCCCCCCCCTCTGAAGTCAAACACAACCCTGATGTGGCCCTCAATGAAATTGAGTTTGACATCCCTGATCTAGGAGGATATCCACAGACTTGAACACTAGGCCCTATCTAGCAAAAGGCAATTCAGTGGCTAGAAAAGTAAAATTTTACACTTAGGTAAGGAGACCCAAATGCACAGGTATAGAATAGGTGATATTTGCTTCAACAGTGTTCTAACCTAGGCTTCCCCAAAAAGCACGAGGCAGAGTCCTGGTCCCAACAAAACCCCTTTTATTAAATGAATGTGAATTCCTCTCATTCATATTCAGCAAGGCCTGGCAAACAATCTTTCAAAGAAATATTTATGACTACAAACCTTATCTATCTTGGAAAGCTGTCATGTAAATATTTTCCAAATGAGGTGCTGTGCAAGGAAAGACTGGGCACAGAATCTCTGAGATTCATGGACAGATCTTCACACTCCTGAAACGAATCTAACAACCGACTTGTTTCCTGCAGAAGCCCACTCTCCTTTCGCTCCCTTTTTATTTCCTATGGGAAGGGCCAATCATCTTCCACCTGTGGCTTTTCTATCAAGTCTACCCTGATTTCTGATTGTTCTTTTCTTCTGGCAGCTCTGCGCATGTGTACTGGGAACAGGCTCTAGCTGTTCCTTTGCCTCACTGCTGTTTAGCTCTGTAGCCACCCAATCACTGCCAGACGACCTCGGTCCCGTCTCTGCCTCTGACACAGAGCCCTCGTCTGAACTTTTCCCAACCTCCTCACTGTCTGACACTGCTGCCAGCTCCATTGGCCACTGGCATGCCACAACAAGAGCTGTAACAGTGAGAGGGATCTAGGTATCCTAGTGGACAAACACTTAAGTATGAGTCAGCTACAATTGCCCAAAAAAGCCAACACTGTCCTAGGCTGCCTCAATAGATGGATCAAGGTATCAAGATCATGTGAATTGTACTGCTTTGTACTTCAGTGGTAAGACAATACTTGGAATGCTGCATCCAGTTTTAGTCACCACAATACAAAAAAGATGTTGAGATTCTTGAAAGAGTGTAGAGAACAACAATAAAGACAATTAGGAGCCTGGAAGATAAATATATGATGAATGGTTGAAAGAATTGGGTACGTCTAATCTAACAAAGAGAAGAACTAGGAGTGACTTGATAGCAGTTTTCCAATGTTTGAAGAGCTGCCAATAGAGCAGGCAGTCAATCTATTCTCCAAAGCATTTGAGGTCAGGACTAGAAGTAACAGGTGGAAGATTATTAAAGAAAGCTGCAACCTAAACTAAGGGGAAAAAAATTCCTGACAGTGAGAATAATTAATCAGTGGAATGGTTTGCCTCGAGGAATTGTGGGTGCTCTTTTATTGAAGGTTTTTAACCTAGTTTTGAATGGTATAAGGTCTTCTCTTGAGCAGGACGCTGGACCTTTCCAACTCTGTTAAAGTTTCCCCTTGAATAGCAGTATACTCCTCCCCTTATTGTTTAAGCTTCAGAAGCATGAAGGACAAAATGTATATTTCTATAAAATATAAGTGAAAATAAAGAAAAATAAAGTGCGGGAAGGAAAATAGGGGAAAAGTGTGGAGAAAAAAGAAGAAAAATGCATTAGCTTCCAACTTCAGTGCATTAGAATAAAGGCAATAAAATTACAACTTTTTGGTTTTGCATACTGAATATATACTAGCCATTTTTATAGCAACATATAAATCTAATCAGGAAATCCTAAAATCAGAATTTCATTTTTTTTTCTGTTTAGAGCACAAAAGAAAATTTTAGAATTTCAAATAGCTCAGGAGACATGTAGGCTAGAACATAAAGACTATACTCAAAGCTAAGGAAAAAAAATGAAGTACTTAGTATAAAATAGTAGACATAACAGTGGGACATCCTAGCAAATGATGTGACAGACTGAAAAATAAGAGGGGCAAACTTGCATTGTATTATTGTGTGTTTGTTATCTATTTCTTTTCTGAAAGATATATGATTCCTCTTCTGCAATGGATAATCACTTACCACAATTCCAAATTGCTCAGGCTCAGCTAGTTCATTATATTCTTCTTTTAGTCCTGCGATCATCTTCAATTTGTCTGGTTCAGGCATTAACTTAATCAGATTCTGAGAAAGAAGTTAAAAGAATAGAGTTGCTTGGAATACCTTCTAATAAATATGATAATATTGACCTAGAAAAAATTAGTCTAAAGATGAGTCTTACAAACTAGGGAATCCTTTTGACATAATTTGATATGCCTCTAAATAGCAAATATTCAAATACAAGGGATCCCATCACATCATAAAATCTCCTGATTATTATATACCCAAACCTGAATCATTTATGACCTATCAAACAGAAACCTTGGGGCTGTCAGTTCTTGACAATCACTCGCTGTTCTTACAGTCCTGGAGAGCAAAATAAACACTTTTTAGTTGCCAGAACTACTGGAGATTGAGTTTAGCTTAATGGATACTGGCTGTGGAGACCTACACTCTAGAGAGAAAATATGATCACACATTCTAGTCTTTCTCACCTGCACAATGGATTCAGTCAATACAGCTTCATTCACCTCCAAGATGGCATTCTTGATTTCCTCATAAGGCAAGCGAAAGGAGCCCAAAAAAATTGCTGCCACATTTAAAGAGAAGTGCAATTAACCAAATGATTGACATATCCAAATATTAAAATCAGAGAAATGTACCTTTTCCTGATTTTCCTTCCTTCAAATAAACATTCAAATATATCTGAAAGTTTTCACAGGTAACTTAGGCAAACTTTCCCACCAGAATTACATAGTTAACAGTGGATGTGACTTTGGAGGTCTTTTAATCCAACTCATTTGAGCAGGAGAATCTATACCAATCCAGACAAGTGGCTATCCAGTCTCTTCTTAAAAACCTCCAGTTAATGGAGCGCTTTCAACTTCTGGAAGCAAGACGATTAATTAACAATTAACTGATTAATTGCTTTCATTGATAGAAATTTCTCCTTAATCATATCAAATCATACTCACAAAGGTTCTGAGCATTTTTTGAATCTAGCACTCTCAGCTCCTTGACTTTCTTCTTAGCTTGGTTCCTTTCCTCTCCACTCTCAGGTTGCTTTTTTGCTGTAAAGAATTAAAGATCATAATGACACAAATCATTTCAACAAAACTGTCCATAGTTATCAATCTCTCAAAGAAATTCAGAGCATCCCTTAATCACTGAAAGAATTTAAGAGGGATAAAAATATAAGGTGTGTCCAATATCAGGAGGTAATTTCAAACTTCCCCTCACAAAACAAAACTACTGTTATTGCCCCATTTATTATTTCAAATCAGTAACTGATCCATTTATGTGCTCCTGCATAAAGGACTATGCTACGACACTAGAATGGTGCAATGAAATATTGAATAATTAAATAATAAAGAACTATTTGTTAATATAAACAAGTGTATTAATACTAGGATTAGTAATGGTGGCCTGACTAGGAGCCAGAATAGAGGCAGAAATAAGAAATAGGGGGAATATTAGTACACATATTTTTCATACAATAAAATAAAAGCACTAACTAGAGGTTGAAAGAGGGCAGTACTCTGTAAACTCAAATAATACTGTGATTGGCATTAAAATGGATCATTGAAATATTGAATAACTACTTTAAAACAAATATGTATATTAATACTATAATTTCATGAGTTTGATTAATGTAACAAATACTATTATTATTGCCATTTGTCCCAAAATGAATGATACCCAGATGCCATTTGATTCATGTACTGATGTTGATGCATATTTCAAAATAAAAAAACTGTAAAAATATGAATACGATTTAGATAAGATAGGATATAAGCCTCATAGAAAAAAAAAGGCACAGCATAATTAGAAAATAGGATCTTGCCCTAAAGTACAAAGTGGAAGATATATCAACTTTGGGCATTAGAATCACAAATAATCACCAAAATGACCTGCAAAAGTGGTACAAAACCAGGACTATACAAAGTGAAATGCCCCTATGGATAAAAATATTCCCTTCATGGAGATAACCAGAAGTGGGTTCCTACTGGTTCATACTGGGTGAACCAGTAATGAAAATTGGATCTCGATCACCAAACCAGTAGGATCAATTAACTAATTTTGTTGTATTTATTTTGTGCAATGACAATAAAGGCTATATTATGCAATAGCAGGCTGACCATGCCCCCAAACCGGTCCGGTCCCCTGGCCTTTCAATTTTCCCCAAGCCACAGTCAAAGAGATCTTTTATATTTCCCTTTGTTTGGGCGTAACCTCCTTCTTCTATTTTTTCTTCCATTTTCCTTATGCCACTGTCCACCTCTGAAACACCTTTTGTTTGCTTTTTATTTCCTTTTGTTGGGACACATCCCCCCTTTTCAATTTTCCCCATACCACCGCCAGACCCAATGGAATTTTTTGTCTGCTTTTTATTTCCCACCGTTTCTACCCCTTCATTATCTCTCCCCCTTCTTCCTTCCCTTCTTCTTTAAATACCTGCTTCTTTGAGTTCAGAATTCTATTTAGGCTTAATTTTAATGGAACTATCTTGGTCTTTTGTTCTTCCTTAATGTCCAGTTCCAAAATTGCAGTTCCATATATTTACAGATCTTATTTCGAAGTTCTGGTCCACCTTAAATTTAGCTAATTCAACTAATGAGAAAACAGAAGAGAAGCTGGAGCCATCTTGATCTTTTTCAGAAAAAAGAAAGAAAAAAACTTCGTATTTTCCAGTTCTTGATGTTGTTATTATTTTTTCCCTTGCTACTTTCCACCTCTCATTAGTTATAGTTGCTCAAAATATATCAATTGGAACAAACTTGCATACAGCCAAACTCGGGTATGTTTCTCTTTGCCTCCTGCTTTTCCAAGTTCTGATTTATGGCAGTTGGTTAATTAGAACTTAATTAGAACTCGGATGAAGTAAATCTTCATGCTCTTAGATTCCTTTAAAAACACAATCTTTTCAAGTCCAAAACAAAATTTAGAGTTTGTGTTTGAGTGGGCTTGTCACTTCTCTACTTTCTACTTTCTGTCCAAATTGTTTCAAGCAAATGGCTCTCTTTTGGGCTAGTGATTCAACCCTCCATTTCCCCCCTTCTTTCTTTCTTTTTGCCAAGATCCCAATTTGTCCATCAATATTATTTATGCTTTCAAGATTCTTTGCCTTTTCGAAATTCTGATTTACAACTGTGGGTTAATAGATCTTACTAGGCTTTCATCTTGCCTCTGCACATTCCTACTCAGCTGCTTTGGCATGAAGCTAGCTTCTTGTGCAGCAATGTTGCCATGCTGCTGCCCCAGCTCCAATTCAGAGGGCAAATCTCTGACCTACGAGGGACCTGTTGCACTCCCTCTGGGTTTGATGAGATGCCGCCCCTTCTTCCCCCCAGGAGGTTCTGATCCAAAAACGGATCTCGAAATTGGTTTGTCAGACAGGATTCATGTGAGACTCTTCAGAGCTCACATCCCCCACATTTGTACAGCTGGAGAACTTCCGATCGACTTCCACGGTGAGGGATAGTGTTGTGGTTCGCAGGTGGCCTGCAGAGCTGGTAGCAGAATCGGAGTGAGGAGAAACATAGGCTAGTCCTGGAATCTGGGGAAGACTTGGATGAGGGCTCTGTATCAAAGGCAGAGGAGGCCAGAGCCATTTGGGAGTTATATGCTGCCTCCAGGGCCTCCAGAATCAGACAGTAGTGAGGGAGAGGAACAGGCTCCCCCTATTCCCAGTGCGCACATGCGCAGAGCTGCCAGAAGGCAAGAACAGTTAAAATGTCTGTTGGCTTACCTGAGTAACTGTTCTCTGTTTGCTGGAGGAGAATCCAAACATGGGTTAAATTCAGCCAATTAGCCTAGAGACTGAGTTGAAAAAAATCTTGACCATGCCTCTCTTGGCTTCCGGAAGTCAATTTTTTAATGAAGCACAGTCATAAGAAGAAACGTCCAAGATCATGGAAGTGTACAATCAAGGTAAGTCAGTTTATCAACCCTGGACCTGCCAGACACAGGGCGGGTTTGGATTCTCCTGCAGCAGACAGAGAACAGCTGTTCAGGTAAGTCAACGGACTTTCTCCTGTGCACTGCTTGGAGAGTACCCATGCTAAAAAGGCTCTTGGGCGGGAAGAGTCTGGCCCAGGGATGCGGATTCCGATTGAGCCCTCTGCAAAACCTGTTGCCCAAACGACGGCTTGGCCAAGGTGAATTTGTCCACCTTGTAATGTTCAATGAAGTGTAACAGGGACGACTTTTTCGCCACCCTACATCTCTCTTCTACTGATGCCTGTATGGGCCAAGCTGCCATGGTGGCCGCGCTCCTGGTGGAATGGGCAGTGATATGTCTAGGTACAGGCCACAACTGGTGTTATATGCTAAGGCTATGCAGGCCTTAAGCCAACGGCCGATGGTAGAAGGTGTCACTTTCCTGCCCATGGTGGCCGGTTGAAAAGAAATGAAGAGGGCCTCTGATCTTCAAAAGTCTGCTGTGCATTTAACATATCTGCGAAGGGCTCTTTGGACATCAAGTCAATGCCTGTTGAAGAGGCTGGATCCCAACTGAAGATCCCACTGGGCCTGGGCCAGAGACAATGACTATATCAAAATGTCGCTGAGGTAGCATTGTAACCTCACTGGAACCGATTGGAGGTGTGTTACCACCCCCACCAGCAACTTCGTGAAAATCCTGGGAGCTGATGACAGGCCGAATGGCAGGGCCCGATATTGGCAATGGCACCCCGCGAAGCAGAATCTCAGGAGCGCAGTCCTTATTGGAACATGAAGATAAGCCTCCTTAATGTCCACAGAGGTAAGATCATTGCCCTGGCATATGCATCCCAAGATATCTTGAAGGGATTGCATCTTGAAACGCTTGTATGAGAGATGGATACTGAGCCTCTTTAAGTCCAGAATCGCTCTCCACTCCCCTGAACTCTTGGGAACTAAAAACAGTATTGAGTGAAACCTGAACCTCACTTGCCCACTGGGACTGGCTAGATGGCTCTGATATGCAACAGATGTTGGATTTTGATCTCCATGAGCTCCTTCTTGATCTGATAATGGGGAATGGGGCAACTGATAAAGTATCTCAGGGTGTGTGTGGTAGACAAACCAGCCGAGGAGACAGGCAGCAAGAGGCAAAGCACAGGCCACGAACTGCATGCACTGCTCAGGGAACCCCTGGCGCTCTCTGCATTAACCCGAAGGCAGTGATATGGCTGAGCAAAGCAGCTGCGAGCTCGCCCACCAAAATTTTTGCGATCTCCGAGCAAAATGAACACAGTCACCACCAAAAACTCCAAAGAGAATGTGCGGCTAAGTCTGGCACAGGTGCAGTGAACCCATTCGGTGCCAAATGTAATGGTTGTGGTTAGCCCTTGATTGATGTAACCTCCACCACCAATCTCAACGCAGGAACTTTAGGCGCAGCATTCAAAATGTCTGCTCTGCATCTCCAATGCTGGAAGTAAAGCACGGGAGCAACGAACCAGCTCTTCGAACACTAGCAACCCCTCGCTGCCATCAGAGGCTAGCCCGAACAATATCGGACAATATTGCTGAGCTCTGATCCACGACACAGTTCAGAATATAACACAGACAAAGGGCGGTTCTATCCGGCGGACTGTGATAATCAGTGCACACACCCGCGGCCAAAAGTGGCTGCAACTGACATATCCTGCAATAAACTTCAGTCAATCATAATTTGGAGAATCCACGCTAGCTCAAAATATCGGTTTTTATCCACAATACAAAAATTGAGGATGAGAAAGGCTTGAAAATGTCTCTCTTAGGCTAGACTGAGTTAAAAAAAATGGACTTCTGGAAGCCAAGAGAGGTCAAAAAAGGTTAAGACTTTTTTCAACTCTGTCTCTAGGCTAATTGGCTGAATTTAACCCATGTTTGTATTCTCCAAGCAGCGGACAGAACAGAAATGATGACTCGGAGTTTGGAGATGATTGGCCCCTCCAATAGGACATAAAGGAGGAACAAAGGCACATGAGCCTTTGCAGAAAGCGACTTGGTTTATGTTGGTCAGTTTACCTTCTGAAACTCCATTTGGATTCTTTGCTCTATGTGGCCTTGCCAAGCTAATTAAATCTTTGGCACTATTTTCAAA